AGATGCTCTGTAGGGTTACATATTGACACAGGAAAAGGGCAGCCAGACAGCAAGAACTGTGTTTCTCCAAACAGCCCTTCCAGGTACCCATGTTTATTGCTACCTTGTATTATTCCTTCTGCTCATTCATGAATACAGAAAATTATCGCCCTCCCAGAGGATAAAGATAATGCCATAGTTCTTATTTGCTCTACACTGTACTTATTTACATTACTAGCTTATTAATTAACTGGCTGATCATTATGAGATTTTGCATTATTCCCCTTTTATGTAATTTAGAATTGTAGAAGTTAACAGTTAAAGAAAATTGGCATGTAAAAAACTTCAAACTTCTGAGAATCAATGTCATATTTACCCAAGCAGACTTTTCCCTTTAAAGCGAAATGACAATTTATTCAGCTTGTTTGCCATTTAATGGTGGGTTCTGAGCTCCCTCTAGTGAGAGATGTGCTACTTACAGAAGGATTGTACAAAATAATCTTTTAGAGATTGCCTCCTTTCTTATTAGAGAGCTATTTTTTCATTCTCTCTTATAAGCAATGGATATATTTTTGTTTTTAAGCCAACTTATTTCAAAATTTCTCAGAGGAAAAAATTTGGGGAAGTCACATTTATAAATAAAATATCTCTCTTCCTTGGTAATTAAAAAAATTACTGTGAAAACACATCCATTGAAATATGGAACTAATTGTGCTTTCATTTTTTTCAGCATCTGTTTTCTGAGCATTTACTATGGCAAGAGCGCTGTGCTGGGACCAGAAGGTCATAACGCATGGGGTCCTGTTCCCAAAAGTCAGGTTTCAGGAACCAAATTAGCCCTAGGAGATGGCTTATTGGAAATACCTTTTGATATCCCGTAATCTTAAGTATTGAGAACTTTCTCAATTTTAGATCCTAACTTTCAGAACGAGTAGATGTCTTTGAGCTGCCACTCTGTTTGCTTGAACTAGTCTATTGATTAACTGTTAAGTTCCCCAAGGACCACCAGAAAAACCTATTGATCAAGCAAAACCAAGTTTATAAGATAAACTACAGTAGTGGAGAACACCACCTTGACAGAGTCTTATAAGTGTCTGAAAATGGAAGAATAAGTCAGAACTTTTTATAGGATTTTAGAGCCTCGGCTGGATGATTTTTTAAAAAATTCTATTTTATTGTGGTAAGAACACTTAACATGAAGTCTACCCTCTTAAGAAATTTTCAAGTGTACAATACAGTATTGTCAACTGTAGGGACAATGTTGTACAGCAGATCTCTAGAACTTATTTATCTTGCATACCTGTTGATTAGTGACTCCTCATTTCCCCATTTTCCCAGCCCCTGGCAACCACAATTCTACTCTCCAATTTTATGAGTTTGACTATTCTACCTACCACATATAAGTAGAATCAAACAGTGTTTGCCCTTCTATGAGTAGCTTATTTCACTTAGCATGACGTCCTCAAGACTAATTCATGTTGTTACATATTGCAAGATTTCCTTCTTTTTAAAGGGTGAAGAATATTCCCTTGTATGTATAATAACACATTTCCTTTATCCATTCAGCTGTTGATGGACACAATGGTGCAGCCACTATAGAAAACAATATGTAAATTCTTTAAAAAATTAAATATGGAATTACCATATGGTCCAGAAATCCCATTTCTGGGTGTTTATCCAACAGAATTGAAATCAAGATCTCAAAGAAATATTAGCACTCTAGTGTTCATTGCAGCAATATTCACAATAACTAAGAGGTGCTGGGTGATTTTAAGGTGGGTCTTGTAAAGAAGAAATCTGGTAGGGCTTGGGCAGAGTTTATGATATAATTGCTTTGGAATAGCGAGCACAGGAAAGCCAGGTCTTAAAGTAAGCTGAATAAGCAAGCTGTTAATCTTGATAAATACATTGTTTTTATTAATAGTTGGCTCACAGTCTTATCTTCCAGGAGCAGGCACTTCTAGGAATAAGTACTTTTGTTTAGTCCTAGTATGGTTTAGCACACAAAACAGGAAAGTATGCTTCCTATCATAATTGCTTAGGATAGGGACAAGAAAGTACATTTGATCCGGTATTGTTTAACACGGGGACAGGGAATTATTTTGATTTCACTTCTCAAAAGAGTTAGATGTTAAAAGCACTGACTCTTGGTAGGCAATGGAATAATAATAGCAGCCACGATTTATTGAGCAACTATTAATATTAACATTATGTTCAGATACTATGAGAAGCACTTAACATACATAATCTCATTTTATACTCATAGCAATCTTACAAGGTGTGTTGTTACCTTGTTTTACTGATGAAGAAACAGAGGAACAGAGAGAAAGAGAGAGAGAGATTAAGAAAAGCTCCCAAGTCAAAGAGTTAACTAGCTAGCGAGTGGTGGAATGGAGATTCAAACCCAGGCAGCATAATCTGAAGCCTTTAGTCTTAACCACCACATGACACATCATCAGGGCAATTCCTCTCAAGGAAAAGGAGTCTTGTGAAATAAATCACACTGTGTTAACTGATCACAACCTGTTCATGCAGGGAAATCATGTTCAGGTCAATATACATGGCAATTTAAAAGGTTTAAGAGGAAATGATGTCACAGAAGGTCAGTGTCAAGGGTGATTATGGGTGACTTTCTTTATTTTAAACCCCTTGCCTTTTAGTTCTAGGAAAAATTCTAGAGCTTTCCTTCTATTCCAACAAATGGGTTTCCTAGTTTCATTTTAATGCCTCTGCTGGGGCTTTTCATTTGAGGTACTGAATGAAAAATGCTTCATTCAATATGAAATGTAACACATACACAGAAAAATGCACAAAACAAAAATGTGCAGTTCAATGACTTATCACAAAGCAAATCCCTCTGTAACAACCACCAAAACCAAGATATAGGAGATCGCTAGCACCTAGCAATCCCCTTTGTGTCCCCTTTCAATTATTTCACTCTATCCCCAAAAGTAGCCACTGTTCTGACTTTTACAGTAATAACTTTCTTTTTTAAAAAATATTTTTACCATTTAAGTATGCATAAACACTAGGGTGTAGTTTTGTCTGTGTCTTTGAACTTTATAGGAATGGAATCATACCATGTTTATTGTTTTGTGCTTGGCTTTTTTTTAGCTTAATATATGCTTGTGTTATAATTCTGTGTTGTTCTGTGTAAATGTAGTTATTTTATTGCTGTGTGGTATGAATATACACAGTTTATTTATCTATCCTAATGTTGTTAACATTTGGTTATTTTTACTTTTTTGCCATATTACAAATAACGTCATTAACATTCTTATATCTGTCTCAGGGTCATGTACACACAATTCTGTTGGGTATAAACCTAGGAATGGAATTGTTGGGTCATGGGGGATGCATATCTTCAACTTCAATAGAAAATACCAGCTTCCAAAGTAGTAGCTGCCTAAATTTACACTCTCATCAGCAGTGTATTAAAATTTCCCTGGCTCCTCATACTTGTTAACACTTGGTATTGTCAGCTGTCTTAGTTTTAGCCATCTGGGTATGTGTCCTTGTGCTTTGAATTTGAGTTTCCTTGATTACTAATGAGGATGATCCTTTTTCATTACATACATATATGTACGTATACATACACATGTGCATATACTATATGTATATAGGCTATCTAGAATTCCTCTTTTGTAAATTGCCTGTTCAAGTCTTTTACCCATTTTTCTATTGAGTTGTCTGTTTTTTTCTTAATGGTGTGTAGCTCTTCTTTATGTATTCAGTATATGAGTCCTTTGACTGATATATGTGTTGCAAATATATTCTCTTATTTTGCGCTTTGCCTTTTCACCTTATTACTGGTTATTTTCTCATAAAGAGAAATTCTTAAATTTTTAATGTTAATGTAATACAATTTATTTAATCTTAATCTTTCCTTTACCATTTATTCTTTATGTGTTCTGTTTGAGAACTTTTTCTCTACCCCAAGGTTAAAAAGATATTCTCTGCTATTATATTACAGATATAGATCTATGTTATACCCACTTTTTTTTGTATGAAGCAAAATGTCAAATAATTTTATATGGACATCCAATTGATTCAGTTTAATTAGAACTGTATTATGGAAAACTTCCAAGTATATATACTAAGTAGAAAGAACACTTTAATGAACTCTCATCACTCAGCTTTGACAATTTTCAACTCATGGACAATTTGGTTTATTTCTATTCCCATTCACTTCTCTTCTCACACATTATTTTGAAATAAATCACAGATATGATATTTCATTGATAAATATTTC